GAAGGTTAACGATAAGAATTGAACTGCAAAGAAAACTAAGGTATTCATCGGCATATTTTACTTTCATATATAGTTACGTCATAGTCACAATATTCATTGGAGAATTTTTATCTTGTATTGTGAATCTTTTGCTAAGCTAGCCCGCATCACGCTTTACAAGCGTCTAGTTCATATTTAATATAAGGCCTTATAAGATGATTCACTATTGTATTATACAAGGAAAATAGGGGACCACTAAGTTGACTATGTACATGTGTCGTTTTCCTGAGTTCCATCAGACGAAGATAAATTACTTGAATTGGTTTGAAACAGTACAACACAAGATTCTTTACAAAAATGATATTGATTTTGCATAAATAATAAAAGTAATAATAATAATAATAATACAAATTTTGTGTATTTTTTAAAGAGTATTTTACAAGTCAGATTTTAATAAGGGGGATAATTATATTACAACTGGTCTTCGCTTTCGTCCTCTTGAAACCCTCTAAAGCGTTCAACACTGTCTTTTGCTTGAAACTTTTCTCTGATGGCGTGATATGAGCAGGCAGGAAGGGGGATTCTGTTTTTACCTAGTACACCATACACCAAGTGAGTAAATTCTCTATATGCAACACTCCTCATAAACCTGTCAAAATCAGAGAATTCGTATAAAAAAAATACATTTTAATCAAATTTGATTGCGCATTGCCAGTGTTAAATTAGTTAGTTAGTTAGTTTCAACGAAAAGAAAAATAGAAACATCACGTAATAATCGTGATACATGTACGTGTTCGAGATGATAGTTGATAATGGACATACGCTTCTTCTGATCCGGTTTGATGATATGCTCTTTTGTCGATTTTTCTGCATTTTCCAGCAGATAGTCTTAATGACCATCGCTCCAGGCAAGTGTTCTTGAAAGCGGGATGGAGTGTTATGCATTGCGGAGGTTTTTCAAGCTCTTCAATGACCCACTTGTCTTGTAGCACTTCGACGCAACCTTCCATGTCACGACAACAACAGCATTCGTACGCGTTTTGTAAAAACTTTACGTTGCAATTGCCACATTTACACCTACGGGGAACCGAGAAAGATTCAATAGAAATATCCAGACGACATCAATTAAAAAGCAGACTTTCATCTGTTTAATTTGTGAATTTAGACTTCCAACAAGGAGAATTACAGAAGATTAGTCTAAAGCCGTAAAACAAAAGGACTACTTACCAATTCTTAATTGTTTCTTTACCCACTAATCGATCCTTTAATTTCTCTAGTTTTTGTTTCTTTTCTTCTTGCCGTTTGTTGTACTCTTCAAGCCAGTTTTCATCGGCTAAAGGTTCGGCTGAGTATGGCTCAACACCACGAATGTTTTCATCCGCTTCGAAATCACTTTCGGAGGACACGCCAGGTTCGCATTCAACCGGAAAAAAGTGTCCAGGGATAAAGTTATATTCCGAATCTTCCTCGGAAATGTCTAATGAATCTAATTCGCTTGAAGTATCGCTCATTTCGAGGTAAAAAAAGTACTAGTAGCGTTTTGTAATCGGTAAATTCTGGCACGCTATTACAAAGATCACGCAGATTTGTTGCTATCGAAAACAGATAACTTACTCCTGCTACGTCACATTACCAGACCTCTCGTCGTGCTCGGCCAAAGTATGGGTGTCGGACTTTCAATGTCTCATAAAAAAATAATTTTGCGTAAGTACTAAACTTTAATTGGAAAAAGTGATTATATTATGCCTCTACTTTTCTTCCAAAAAGTAAAAAAAATTGCGTCATAAGGACTTTAAAGTGCTGCTTTATTTGTGCGCAAGATCTGTTCTTTAAAGGTAAGTAATTTGTAGTTATTGTAGTTCGGGTTGTAGTTAGACAGTTAAAAAACCGTCGACTAACTCCGGTGAAGTCAAAGATTAACCGACTGACGTACCGCACTCGTATAAAGAAGCAATCGTATAAACCTGGGGTATAAAGTTGAGAAATCTCATAAACGTTGTCGTTTTTAAAAGTCATTTAAATAGCTTTCCTCTTTGTTGGGACATCCTATGAAACGATGTGATTTCTAAATCGCTCTGAACGAACTGAACAATTTTGAAAATTAACAAATTAGATTGCAAAGCTCCACTGAATATTTTCACTGATTTCGTGCCATTACTTCCTTGCAAAGCCATGGAATGTGCTGATAACAACTTGATGGAAAAACGCTTGCAGAACGAAGGGTTTGAAGTTGACTTTAACCCTACAGGAGATGGAATGTGCTTCTATGCTGCAGCGGGACACCAGGTTGGAATGAGTCCAAGCACCATCCAAAGCGTTATTTTTGATTTCCTTAGAAATCATAGATATGACGTAAGTAGATGTGTATTTACATGATTTTTTGCGACGTATGCGACATTTTTGGTAGTATTTATTTGAATTTTGGTAAACCATTCATGTGTAAAAACGCTGACATTATACTGAAAAAATCGTTTGATTGACAGGAGGATGGCAATGACAAGCTGCCCTTTATTTGCAACGTGGATATTGGTGGAGAGGAAGTGCAGGATTCATGGGATAGGTCATTAGATTTGCTCAAACAAAATTTTGCCAACGAATTAGTAGTGAAATCGTTGCCAGATGCCATTCATTATACTGTAATTGTTATAACTGTATATGGGGTAAGTTTGATAATGTTGAGAACACAAKGATACCATTTCCGCGATAATGCGGTCAAAAATCTGGACTTCTTGTATTTTTTTCTCGAGCTATGTTGAGTGATTAACATATAACAATTTCATTTTTTCAGCCCGATAGAAACAATTACATACAAGTTTATAAGCCTAATCATGGACCTAGCATTGGCACTTTGTACCTCGGACATAGTGGCAACCACTATCTAGCCCTAAAGCGTATAAATGAGGTGAGGTTTATTCATTCAAAAGTGCGCAATGTTAAGTATAACTATGTTCACAAGAAACAATAAGGGTGAAATAGAGTCAATAAGCCGCGGSATACCGTGAGAACAACCAATATTCCTCACTTAGAATTTTGGAACTTCCTAGATAAAAGCCGAACCCAAAACTTACGCAGAGGCGTTAAAATGCAACAGGAAAACACCTAAGAACAAAGATGAAAACAAGCTTATGGTTAGTAAACTTATTTATGTCAGGTTACTTACAATCGTAAATAGTACTTTTATTGTATTAGAATATGGCAATTATTCTTTGATAGGTGGATCAAGATATACGGCGTAGCCCGCTTATCGATGACGACGATAATGATCTCCTATTGCCAGCTCTTGACTGTCRTAGTAAGGTAAAATTAATCAGTAAATTGATAGCTATATTTTTCATTTACTATCATATATCGTCGATTCTTAAATTTGTGATCTGATTGGCTGACGGGCAGGTTTATATAAGGGTACAAAGACATGACAAATGTACAACGTTAGATATAATATATATGTAGTAATTTTACTTTGAATGAACMCTTATAATTATGTATGTTTCAGGGCGCACCATGTGGTACGAAATGCCATAAGGTAAATTTAGCAACACAAATAAATATTGAAGGGAAAAAATACCGGAATCAATTGATTTCAAGTTGTGTGGAGTGAAAGAGATATGTTTGATGTGTATCAACATTGATTGTCCCTTCATTTTTTAATGATACTGTCTGAGACAAATTTCTATTTAATTCCAATATTTCTATTTCGACTCTAGAGAAACAAAACTCCTACGTTTGAATCTTGGGAAGAAGAGTGTTTTCCTGGAGAGCCAAAWCTTCCTTTGGGATCTTTCAGATATTCTGAGGTATGTATCGTGTATATTGATTTCAGTGAGCAATGTAAAGCCTGTGAGGCAACAAATGACACAACAATCTACTCATATACTGCTATACGCAGGTACAACTTCGTGTGGCTTGTTTGTTTTTCTGACACTACGGTGATGGCAGAGGTACTTTTGAGTTAGGTCTCAGGGGCGGATTTAGACTAGTTCAACTAGTTTCCGGAAACTAGTGAGATTTTTCAAAAAAAAGATGTAGTTGAAAGCGATATTTCAAATAAAATCATATAAACGAAAAGAATATGGAGTATTCACTGGAGTATTTTACCGGTCGATGGCAATACGATCGCTTTGGCCGCCATTTTGAAAGTTGTACCACAGGAAACCCACATTTACTACTTGAAATATAAACTTCTTTGTTCTTGTGGGAGGGGACCCATCGAAATGTTTGACACAAGACTGTCGATCACGAGCCCAGAGTCCCCCAATGGCTCTTAGACAGCGGACTATCGCTTGAGAGTGCACTAGTGCAAAATGACGTAGCACTGATTCACAYAGGAATCCCGACTGGTTTCCAGATAAATTCTTGTTCACACAGGAAAACCGAAAGCTATTTTCAGCCAATCAGGATCGAGCTTTGAGTTTCTGTGTATCATCATAACAACAGTAGATCAATTTTGATTGGCTAAAAAGCCAGAAACCAGTCCAGAAACCAGTGACAAAAGTATAAATAGACTAGGGTACCCTAGTGAGGTCCTCTCAGTGTTCCGTTAGACTCTCTGGAATCGCTTCGAACACTGTTACAGATTTCTAAAACAACACTAACTGAGCAAATGGAAAAAAGATCGAGGCCAGAAATACTACCAGCATCTGTTGCTCTTGTGTCGGAATGTGGATAAACCTCTCGTGAAACTGTTCAAAGGGAATTCTTGTAGTATAAATTGAATTCGCCAAASAGATTCGGATTCATGCATGTGAACATTCTTCGTGCTTGGTATGTATTGAAAATAATTTCTGTTGATTTAAAAAGAATGAAAACGCTTGAACCGAATAAGTTACATATTAATCACAGTTAAGAATTGGTAATTTAAATTCGAAATATAATTTTCTGGAATTCGGTTGCTARCGTCATCTACCGCGGCGCATTGCCGTCCCTTGTGTATGTTAACAATTTGGCTGAATCGGCTTAACTAGTTCATTAATTTATTAGAATCATTTTGCAGACAAAAAAAAATCATTTATTCAAACATTTGTTTTTTCTCAGGCCGATGTTATAAATATTCATGTTTTAATTAATTATCATATGTCAATACAACATTTTTTTAGTTGGAAACTAGTCTGTAAAAATGCTAGATCCGCCCCTGGGTCTAGAGCGGATTCTAGTTATCTTGTATTTCAAGTCAAAACGACTGAATTGRACGTTCTAACTTTTGCTTATTTTCTTTGCAGATTGGACGATTCTGAAGAATCAGACGGTGATATTTCCGCGATGAACATCACTAAACACGGTTTAAAGAAAAACAGAAAGCCCTTGACTGGCAAAAGGTACATGTATGTACGTAACTTGAACGCTCAAAACTAGGAACCTGTTATAAGAACTGACCGATTCGTCTAAATGGGAAGTAATTCATGTTTATTTGAAGTAAAACACTCTTGCTATGCATATAGGTCTACTGTACATGTCTCTACTTTGTCCACTGCTTCCGCAGACAAGAATGAAGAATACGAAGACGAAGAAACATTTGTGTAAGTAAAACCTCCACCCAGCAGTATATAAATATCGAGGATTCGCTAATTTTATCCTTTACAATTTATTGTATTTAATAATAATAGACTTAATTATACACAGAAATTCAAAAAGTGWTCACTTACTTACAATAACTAAAATATATGTATGAATATTAAATCTAGGTGTGAGTAAGATATGCTAAAAATGTAGTCAGGCGCGTAGAGTCCTTTACACATATACGCACGTGCGTACTAGTGCGAAGGAAATACTCCCGCCTTCGGAGGTCGTTAGCCCCGCAATCCAAAATATGTATCGCGGTACCGGCCATATGCCAAAAAGTCCACGCTATGCGCATGCTAGTGAATATTTAACTATAAAATATCATTAGTTAGTATATCAATAGTTTTATTACTAAGTTTTATTAATAAAACTTTATTTATAGATCTGAAGATTCAGATGTAGAACTTTCGCTGATGGACATCACTGAAGACGATGTTAAGTATTTAAGAAAAAATTCAAATTTGCCATACCTACCCTACGAGGACAAGTTCTCAAATAAGACGATAATAGATTTCCTTCTGGCCCCACCTGCGTTTGCAGTTTGTTCAAACGAGCGCCCGATGTTGTGTCAAGTAAACGCGATATTCACTATTGACACCACTATATTAAAAKATGAAGACGATATTAAGTCGAACGAGTTTGCTTGGCGAAACAATGGTACAAAGGTGACTTCTCATAGCAATAATTACAAACTGCACAAAACGTACTTTGTACACAAGAAATACAAAGACTTTAAGCGTCGTGTTTATAACTTATATGATGAATATGGCAATTGCTGTCGCTACATGATGGTGTGCTRCTGCTTTGAAAACAAAGAGCATAGCGTTTCTCCCCACAAAAAAATACGCACACAAAAATCTACGCTTAAAAAAATTGTTGCGAAATTGAAAGAAGGATCAAGTGCTTGAGAAGTATACTGCGAAACGAGAAAAGAAACAGGTGGTGTCTTAAACTC